TTTGTATTTGAATTAATTTCACGTATAAAACTATTTATATCACTGTTAGTATCATCTAGTTGTTGAATATTATTCAAAACATTTTCTTGAGAAATAGAATTTTTAGTCTAAACAAATAACATAAAATTAAAAAGTATAAAATTAAATTAAAATATAAGTAACAATAAATAATTCAAAATCAAAAAATTATTTATTTAGTTTAATTTCAAATTAAAACTGTATTTACCTGCTCTTCATGAATTGTTGGAGGTATATTTATAATATTATCCACACAGGAAACCTCTTCAGATATCTCGAGATTATCACAGTTATACTCAATATTATAATCTACTCCATTTAATGTTATACAATCACCAGAGTTATCGTTTTCATTAAAATTAGTTTGATTAACCCAGTTCTAAATTAAAATTAAAACATATACAAATTGTAATAAAAAAATAAATATTTTTAGGAATATTAATAATATTTTTAATAGTAATAATTAGGGCTGGAATTTATGTGTAATTAAAATGGAAAAAAATATAGTATACAATAAAACATTTGTAATCAGAAAAATTTTAAATTATGTTAACGTGTAGAATCAAAATAAAATTCTAAATAATTGTTTAATAGTATACAATTAATTGTTTTTAATTTCTAATCAATTTAATTTAAAAAATATAAAAATAAAGATGTATTCACAACCACGTGAACGTAAGTACTGACACTTTTGAAAATTCGAAAATATATTTTGTCTAATAATTAATGAACATAAAGTATAATCTAAGATCATTAATGTATAGTTATCGAATAGAAACAAATAAGATAAACTATAAACAAGTTATTAATATTTAACTAATACTTTCATGTACTTATTTCATACATGCATTATACACTTACAATTTTCACGAGTACTATTATCAAAGTATAAATGTATAATACTACTAAACCACGAAAATTGTCAACATTTACGAAATTTGTAAAATAAAATGCAGAAATTTTACAAATAATGTTAAAATATGTATTTATGACAAAATATGTAAAAACATATAAAATAAAATATGTTTTATTTTATTGAAAATCACGTGAAATTAATTTAACATTTGCAGTAGGTACTTAATTTATTATGTTTTTGTAAAATTATGTATCTACTTACAAATCCCAGCCCTAGACTAATAATATACTTTTAATTCATGACAAACACTTACTATTGTTTTTTGTCTTTTGTATTCAGATTCAAACTGATGATTTAAATTTCGAAAAATTTCTGTTAATTTTGGTTTAATCTTTAAGTCCCCATCAGTATTGTCTATTAATTTAAATATAAGAATAAATGATGAATACGTAATAAAATTAAGTAATATTATTATTTATAAGTGTATATTATAAGATAATATTGTAATATAATAAACTAATAGAGTACTTACCAACAACCATTTTCAATAACTGTCTACTTCTTTTAGACGTCATAATTAGATGTTAGTAGCTACCAATAATATTATTAAAATATCTTTGCAGCAATTAAAATATTATTATTAAAACACTATACACGGCAACAATGGACTGATTTTAGTTTAATAATTATGCATATTAATATTGACTTGTACCCTTTCTCACAAACACATTTTTTTTTTTTTTATTATGTCTAAACGCACATAGATGTATTTCGGTAAAAACAATAAATAGAATATTTACAGTTGCACCAAACGATAGAGCGTGAAATTTCCTACTAAATTAATGTATAATATGAAAATGTCAAAAAATGACTTATGCCCTTTCTCACAAACACCGTCCATATATATATATCCAGTATTTACAGTTTCTTTGTTTTGTAAAATAGTTGATGGACCTAAAGATCCTAACAGAGTAAAAGAAGGCGCACATTTTGAAACTGCTTGGCATCCACAACTCCAACAACAACTTGTAAGTATTATTTATTATTTTTGTATGAACAAGCATTATAAATCAATAGTAAGGCCATGGTCTCTTAAATATGATTTAATGGCTAGTAAATCATTTAATTAATTTGTTTTATATGCAACCCAACACTAATAACATAAATATAATTATAAATTTATAAATTAAATAAGCCGTTTGTTTAACAAAAATTATTAAAATTAATTTCAATTTTCTGTGAAAGTTAGAACAATTATTAATTATATACATATTTTATTATTTACAAATATATTTCAGGGTTATAATAATGCTATGACACCAGATCAATATTACCAGTATCAAACTCCAGCTCCATATCAATATCCAACACCTACTGCTTATAGTATGGGTGATCGATCTTGGACAAATGCACCTGAAGCGCTAACATATGTTGGAGGATATTTACCTATTCCAGAGACTTATAATCAGCCCAATGTTTATAATGCTCAATACAGTCATCCCACTCATACCCCTGGCTATAACTATTATATTGCTCAAAAACCATTTGAAGGATATTATAGACCTGGAGATCAGATGTATGGTGTTCCAGTAAATGAACAAATAAAAACCATTGAACAAGATGTACAAGCATTAAGTATAAATGATTATAGAGATAATAGTAATGTACAGCAGAAAAAAGTATCAACGTGGGCAGCTGTTGCAAAACAACCAGTGAAACCCATAATATCATTAACTACTGTAACAAAAAAAAAAAGTCCAGGTATGCCTCCACCACCAATGGTACCTGGTAAAAATGATGGTCACCGGGAATCAAAAACTGCAGCTAAACCTCCTCCCTCTCCAGTTGTACAAGTTCAAGTTCCCATTATTCAAGCTCCTGTTGTTGTGGAAACAAAACCTCAAAACTGGAATGATCATAAAAATGTTCCTTCCTATAATGCTCCCCCTATGGCAGAAATACCTACTCACATACCTCCACCCGATCATATTAGGCATGTACCACCCCCAACTATAATCATGTCATCACCACCACCACAACAGATTTTAAATTCTTCAGCAGAAGAAAATACTAAACGTAAAATAATTGATGAACTAAAAATGAAAAATCATTATAATCCTGCTGAATATTCTAATCCACCTGAAGGTTCAAGATTTTTTATCATTAAATCTTATTCTGAAGATGATGTTCATCGATCAATTAAATATGAGATATGGTGCTCAACTGATCATGGAAATCGACGATTAGATCAAGCATTTAGTTCATCAGATAAAAAAAAAATATATCTTTTATATTCAGTTAATGGATCTGGACATTTTTGTGGAGTAGCAGAAATGATATCAGCTGTTGATTATAATTCTTCTAGTTCAGTATGGTGTCAAGATAAATGGAAAGGGCAGTTTGGTGTTAGGTAATTTTGAATGATGGTTTATGTTAGATACTGAGATTAATTTTTAATGCTTTTTAGATGGATTTATGTGAAAGATGTGCCTAACAACCAATTCAAGCATATTCGTTTGGAAAACAATGAAAACAAACCAGTGACTCATTCTCGAGACACGCAAGAGGTTCCTTATAATCAGGGTGTACAAGTATTAAGAATAATACATTCTTATAAACATGAAACTTCGATTTTTGATGATTTCCAACACTATGAAAACTTACAAAAATTAGAGGATAACAAAAAAAATGCAGCTCCACTTCCTCCATCATCACATTCTACTATTAAAAAATATAATCATTATGGTCCAGTTCAATTAAATGATAATCGACCACCACAGCAGAATCATTATCATAAAGTTTGTTTATTTTATTAATTTATTTTTATTTTCATTTTTAAATTTTATTTTTTTCAATGTGTTTTATTTAGGATTGGGAAAATAAGCCAAAAGATACTAAAATTGAAGGTAGAGACAATTCTTACCAACCGTCAAAATTTGAAAATAACAGTCATAACCATCGACCTAGAACTGATAGTTATAAAGGCCGTAATGAGAATTTTAGTAAAGAAGACAACTTTCGAGAACATAAAACTTATCGTAGTGATCAAAATAGAATTCGCAATGATTATCACTGTAACTGGGATGAACAACATAAAGGTGGGAATAATTTCAACAGAGGACGTAGGGGTAGAGGAGGTGGACCTTTTGTCTTCGTTAATAGTAACTTGAAACAAACTAATCGTAATTATGAATAAAACATTAGTTTATTTGTTTTTATTTTTACATGGTTAATCCAAAATGGAATAGTAGAATTACTCTGTGTTTAATCCTACGCTCCTAAATTATTTTCATTTTATTTGGAGAAATTGTTTTTATTTTACCTTAATATTAATATGTTTGACCGTTTTATTCAGCTATTTTTATTGTTGACAATTTTATCAACAATTAGTAGTATTGGAGTAATTTAAATACTTCTATCTTAAATAATTGTAAGTCATGTATATCAATAATAATTAATAAATAATCATTAAAAATAAATTAAGTTTTTTTTTTCCTAAACATCTATTTAACTTCTCTCACAGATAGTATTAAGAAAATGTGACACTAAAAAATAACTTTTCTAATACCTGGTAATGCTATAGTAAAAACTATAGTTTTGGATCATAAATCCAAATTTTTCTAATCACAAAAATAAATAAATGTAATTTATGACTAACAGGGTATCTATGGATACGATAATTTTGATTATGAAACACGATAATATAAATTAAATTTATATTAATATGTTTTATATACGTCAAAATGTTGAATGTATTATTTTAATCTATAACCATACTAAGTACATTGATAGTACTGAAAGTTTGGAAATTTTGATTGCTAGTTATCTCATTTTATGGAACTATAAATACATAAGTTAGACAAACTTTTTTATCTTAAACTTTAAAGAAACAAGTAATATTCTTGTCTTGAATTACAAAAATATATAAAGCATTGTAAAAAAAATATGACCTATTATAGTAAATTTAATTTAGATAATTCAAAAGTTTCATAAAAATAAAAACTTAAATATACATATAACATAGTGGGAACATTTTTAATGTATTATAAAAATTAAATTAAATGGTATAATGGATATTTTAATCAACATAATACATACAAAATTAAACAAATAATATTAAAGTAAAATGTATTATTGTTAGTCAAATAAACAATTGACTATTTCATTTAAATTAACTGTAATTTTTATACTTAAGCTACAAAATCTAGAGGTCTATTAAATCCACCTTTACGGTTCATGTACTGACGATATTTACGTTTAAGTATAACATGAACATCTCCCACATTATTGCCATCTACTTCTTTACCATGAGTAGTATCAAAGTTACAAAATCCCATCAATTTCATCATTTCTTGTTCTTCAGCAGTTTTCCCGCGTAAATCTTCTTCTGTTACTTTAGGAGCAGTGTGTTGGACAGACCTTGTGTATTTTTTGTCTTTTTTTGTTGGAGTTTTTGACCTTGTTCTTCGTAAATCGCGATTTCTAGAACGACGTCTCTCTCTTGAATGCCGTCTTACAGGAGATCTTGATCTTGAATGGCGCTGACGAGAACGGCTTCTTTTGCGCACATCACGTCTAGCTCTTGGTGAAGTACTTCTAGAACGACCACGACGTGGACTTCTTGAATGCTCACGTAGTTCACGCCTTGATCTTGGTGATGAACTTCGAGACCTACCCCTACGCACTCTAGTTAAACTATTGGAACGGTCGCGATGTTTATCTTTAGTGCGATCATGTCCTTTATCTTTATAACGTTCACGTTCTCTCATATTTATTCTATAAATAAAATTAATATAAATATTAATAATACCTCATAATTCCTATTTTAATCATGATTTTTATGATATATTTTCTTCCAAACCTTTTCAAGCAATTGCCAGAATATAGTACATACCTACAAATAATAGTAGCCTGTGAAGATTTTTAATTTTTAATCTTTTAAGGTAGAATTTAAATAACCTTTGTAGCATTTATTAAGTTGGAATTAGATAATACCTTCTATATTTGATATACAAACAGACAACACACCAATACACCATAAAATTAGTTAAAAATTAATTTGTGTTACAACAATTATTATCAAATTAAACTGAACATTTTTTGAAAATTTCTCTATTGTGTTGAATAGACAGTAAATTAGTTCAGTACTTATAATATTGTCTACTAACTACTGCAGTACTCACAATTCACAAACTCAATATTTTACCACTTATTAAAATAGTATATTATATTAGTTATACTAAAAAATTTCAACCGTAACCTAAGTGAGTAGTTAATTACCAAATAACCTTTGACAAACTTACCAATAGATTGATTTTTTGTGATTCTTTAAATTATTTTATCTTAGTACACAATGTACAAAGATTGAGATTAAAACTGTTTTGATTTAATATTTAAACACAATTCTGAATTCACATTTCACAATATTTACAATAGAGTATTATTTTATTTTGATAATTTATAATCATTAATGAACTAGATGTCATGGAGGAAAAAATACTATAGGCGCTCGCTTATTTATTGTGGTATCTCCGCGATTAATTCCCCTAACGTTTCCCTCGATTTAATCTTTTATAACATTTTAAAAATTTCTCTAATATCATTTTCCTACCGTAATACACTCATGTAAATTCCCCTAAGAACATTTGGCTGTAATATTACACTATGTTGATTCCCAAAGATGGACAAATTAATAAAAATTAACTTGAATAAGTTTCTATTTTAAATATTTATTTTATTTTTAAAAATACAAAATATTAAATTTAGTATTCTCTCTCCCTCCCCCCAAAAAAAATGTGCATCATGATAAATCCAAGGGAAAATCTTTTGTAACAAGAAACTATTTCACAAAAAAGTATGAATTTAATGAAGAACACTTAAACTTTAAGTTTTACAGAAACATTATCTATTTATAAAATTACAATAATATAATTAGATTAATCTAACCATTTATTTTTACTTATTACCTTTATTTTATTTTATGTATATTATTATAAGAAAAGAGTCAGTTGTAGACAATTATTGAAGTATACCTACGTATACAAAGACTTAAAATGTATTGAAACCTATATTCATAAGACATATGACAGAGTAAAAAATGTACTGACTAAAATTATGTTTTAGTATATTTTAAATTATGATAAAAATAAAAATATATATCAATTATTAATATTTTTTGTTTAATACAATTATAATTATATTTACACTTACTACTAATTTACTAAATTTCCAGTTATTGGTGAAAAATGGTTCAAGAAAATATGCTGTAAATATGTAAGCTTATGTATCAGAACTACACAGAGCTTAACATTGTTTGAATGATGATCATACTTGTGAATAAATCAATAAAATGCATGACGGAGATATAAGTATATATTATACTATTAATCTACTATAAGTACAATTCTATACATATATTAAATTGCATAATAAATGTTTTATAACTTTAAAAATTGAAAACAAATTAGTATAATCTAATCGCAGCAACACTTCGAATTTTTTTTGCTACTTTTCTTTTTTTCTTCTTTCCATTTTTTATATGTTTCTTCATCTAATTCAACATATGGTACATTCTCCATAGTATGACGTTCTGGATCTAAATTCAATTCTTAAATATAAAAATACAATGCAAATATTAATAATGATAATTATTGTGAAGACATAAATTAAGAAAATAGGAATTTAATATGAAATAGAAACTCACTAAATTTTGTTTCATTAACTCTTTCTGCTTGAACTACTTGTGTTCTCAGTTCATGCTCAACATCTTGAGCAAAAGTTATAAGCTATAAAAAAATAAAACGATGTAATATAATATAATATTCATGGTTGCATGCACAAGAAATGCATTAAATAAATAAAAACGATATATTATCTTAATCATAAGGAAAAACATTTTGCTTTATACTTTAATAATATATTAATAATTCAAAATAATTGTAGTTACATTTACTGTACTATAAAAAAAATGTTATACTCATTTAGACATATACTTTGTTTTTTATAATATTATTTTACATTTTAAAATGAAATTAAAATTATAAAGCTTGATAAATTATTTAAATTATATTCTTACATTCTGAACCACAACAGGATCTGAAACAGTTTTATTTTTTTTGAATTCTTCATTAATCTGATGTTTAGCAGCTAAAATAACGAAAAAAAATAACTCAATTATATTTGTTTACGTTTTTAGATGTATCAAATTTTCTATTTATAACATAAAAGGATGTCATTGAAACATCTGTTATCTCTGCCAATCATAAATAAACTAGGACAATAAAACTACAGAATAGATGAAAATTAATTTCATCTATTTTTTGGTAAAACTAAACTTTTATAAAGAGCTGTCCTGCTTAAAGCAAGAACATATGACCTATTTTAAAATGTAAGTAATAAGAAAGTAAATGTAGTACTCTAATTAGGGATTTTAGATAATTAAAATATTAAAGAAACTAAGATATTATGAAACTAAATTTTTATCAAATAAATTGTGAAGTATATCAGGATTACCTAATATAAATAGACAAAAGTGTAAATAAAAAATAAAAAATTGAAGAGCAGTGTTGATATAACTATAAATGTTGTACTAAGATATAGCTTTAACAGTATTTGTCATTAGCTTACAAAAACAAAATACATTTAATAACTTATGCATACCATTTAACATTTGAGTATCATTTTTAAAACACAGTAACCTAGCTTTATGTATCAATTTGTAAGTAGTAAGTACCTGAAATAAAATAAAGTCATATTAAATCTCAAACAATACAAATAGTAGACATCTTTATAATCAAACTCGTAAATGGATTTACTATGAAAGTGTAACTTACTTTTTTTCTTATTTCGTTTGATGCCATTCTAAAAAGATGGGCAAATTTATAAAATTTTAAAAGATTTATGATTTATAACATAAATATTTCACACAAATAGTAGTACTATGTATAATTTTAAAATATGAAAAATGTGTCATGAGTTACATAATATTATGACACAACTATTGCTTTAGAAGTTGTTGAGTACTGAAAATGCTGAATATTAAGGAAGCTTTAATTACTGTTTGGTGTTTTTGCTAAATTGAAAATATTTATTTTTACATTTGAAAAAAAAATAGTGATAAGTTATCTGATAAAAGATCAACATTTTATCATTATTAATAGTTGTCAACTTATCACATTTACTTTTTTACCATAATAAGATAACTATTATAGTATTATATTATTTATCTGTTATTATCATTTATCAGTAATTTTATTTTCTATTAAAAAAATAATATTTTAGATTAAAACTATTTGTCTAAATATTTATTGGCATATTGCACATCAACATTTTTATTTGTATTTTATAGTTACATATAAATTACATTATTGTAAGTACTACTCTGTTAAAACAATGTATTACTGTGGTGCAGAAGACCAAGAATTAATCCATAACAAAAACCTGGAGTCGTGTGCGCTAGATATTAATGTTAAAAATCAGTTAAACACAAATGACATGGACATGACACCTAATAATACAACGCCTGAAACTAAACGAAAACCCTTTAAAATTCCTGATCACATTTCTTCAATTGAATGTTAATATATTTTGTTTTTGCCACATAAAATATAAAATTTATGTATAATATATTTATGTTTAATTGAAATTGTTATAGGTGATGGAAGTGTTAAATATAATTGTACTGTTTGCAAGAAGACTTTTAATTCAAAAAAGAACTGTTTCTATCATTTAACATGTAATGGAGATGGAATTAAAAAACCGTTGATTTGTTATAAATGTAATAAATCGTTTAAAATACAATCACATTTAGATTATCATATGTTAACACATTCAGGTAAACTTCTATGTTTTATACCTACATAATATTTAAAAATTATTTTCTAGTCGTTTTTAAGTTAGTTATAAAAAACAAAATCTACTATAATTAATAATTGATAAATTTTTAATTTTTCTATTAAAATATATTTCATGAAGAAATACCAGATGTATAAAAAAAATATTTGTTTTTTATCTCTATTTAAATAATAAATAATCAATAATTATTATGATGTATATTTTATAATAATGACTTACAATTAAATTTTATAGTAATTATTATACATCTGATTTAAAAAGCATCTTAAATACTTACTTTACTGTAGGTCCCAAAAGTACACCTTAATAATTGTTATGAAAAATTAATATTTTTTATCCAATTTTTTTAAAAGTTATTTATAAATATTAATTTAATAATTTAATGACACAATTAAGTTTGATTGTTTTTGTATTTTGCTATCTTAATCATTAATCACTAATTGTGGAAACAAATACCTAATTAGTTGTTTTTACACAATTTCAATAAATTATTTTTAATTGAACTAAAAAATATTTTTGAATTTTTCTAAAGATTAATCCTAAAAAAACTTCTTTCATAAATATTAATTTTCTTTGAAGATTCTTAGGATGTCACTGAACAAATATTATTAAATACATTTTTTTTTCTTTGACATCTCATATTATTTTATAAAAATTAAATTTTATTATATTTTATACAAAATTATCTTTCAAGATTTTATGTATAAAAATTTAGTATTTTAGGTATTATTTTACCATACAAATAATAAAGTTTTAAGAAAGAACTTTAAATTTTTTTTTTTATTATTGAAATAAGTTTTAATTTGAATTTTATTTAATTTTAAAATTTAGGTGAAAGACCATTTAAATGTATTGAATGTGATAAATGTTTTTTCACCAAATCTAAAATGATTGAACATAAAATAGTACATACAGGTAAGATAAAAAAAATTTTTATTCGTATTGGTACCTTCATATCAGTGGTTTTCAACCAATGTGCCATGAGCTTTTGTAAGCTCTTTTTTTAGTAATTATATTTAATAAAAATATTCAGGTATAATATAGTTCTATGTGTCGAGCTTAAAAAAAGTTGAAAGTCACTGGTATACATATAAAATATTAATTTATTAAAATTCACATTATTTCAATGCATTTCAGTACGTTCTCATTTTTGTGCAATATGCACTAAAGGCTTCAAAAGAAAACGGTCATTAGAAGTACATATGAAATCTCATGCTCTAGAAAAACCATTTCAATGTGCAACATGTTTAAAATTTTTCAAAAATAAACAATGTCTAAAAAAACATCACATTAGAAAACATTCTGGTAATTGTATTTATAGTAATAAGTAAACAGTTAATATATGTATGTAAAAATTTAAAAAAATTTAAATAAGGTATTATTAAAATATACTATGAATTAATTTATATTTTTAAACGTAAAAAACAATAATAGTTCATGGATTTTTAGTTTTATTTAATTTGACTTTAAAAGTGTATTAATTTAGTTATACTTTGTTTTACAGGAACTAAAGCATTTTCATGCGACATCTGTAAACGTAAATTTAGTTTGAAAGATGCGTTGGTTTCACATCAAAAGACACATATATTCTCGACTCAATTTGCTTGTTATTTATGTAATCAACGTTTTAGAGAAAAACGTTATTTACAGAGACATCTTGGAACTCATAGTAGTAATAATATGCATCATATTAATTAATAAATATAAATTATTGTTGTTAAAATAATGGTTATGTGAAATTTTATAGAAAAAAACATTTTGAACTGCCCAATATGTATGAAAAAGTTCACACGTAAAGATAACTTAGATCGTCATGTAAGAAACACTCACTTGGAATCTGAGAACATTAATATAAATGAACATGTTATTCGTGCTTCTGTAATTAAAGTTGTCAATAAGGTTGAATCATGTCCTGTTCGAGTAATTCAACATACTTAAATGGTTATTTTGTGTAAAGTATTTATAGATATTATATATATATTATAATTTATATTAGTTGTATAATATTATGTTACCTTTCTAATTATTAGTATACTATTTATACCTCATATATTTTCTTACATTGATTTACATAATTTATTGTATAACATTATTTTGTAATAATTCAAATTAAATCATGGTTTTATAATTAAAAAACTAGAAAGTCACAGCCAGTCTTGTAAAATATATTTTTCTTAAGTATTTTAAATTCAATAAGTGATAATACAAATATTATTTGTAAAAGTATTTCAAGCAGTTGTGACGTAAGAGAAATATTATAAGACAATTGTTCCAAAGCCAAACTATGGTGGTAGTGTGCATATCTGTACTGGAGCATGATTATTTGAGATAATTGTCTATATACCGAAATAGGTGGGAGGTGGCAATGGATTTAATATGATAAAATTTTTAATAAAAATATTTATTTAATTAAGTAAAAAAAAATTAGTTTAAATGTTGTGAGTGCATAGGTGGTCAAATGGTAATTTGTCTCAAGTCTGAATTATTCAACAGGCTACTATAATAATGGGTAAGTCTCTTTCCAAATAGGTCTCCAGTCTTCAGACCTTCCATACCACCTAAGAAAGTTTTCTGTGCATTCCTTAGCGAGGTCGATCATAGTAACATTTCTCTGACCTCACACAATTCTGAATGTACCAAAACTCCATTTCGTCAATAGGTGATTGCTGATTGGGCCTTCCTTGACCATTGACTGCTCTAGAAACAGTTTAGTCTCGACTAATTAGTAATTATACAATTTTTCTTCGTTCCATTCTTCTTTCTAGCATTCCTTAATGGTAGGTATGTATATGATCGTATTTATCAAAATTCTTAAAAAAAAAAAATCTTAATTTGTAATTAATCAATTATAAAAATATATAAATTCATATAAAACATAAAAATTTTAATTATATATTATCAAAGATCAAATGATAGTTGAAACAAAAGTATAAAGGGCATTACGTAATTGGTTTGTACTTTGTAGTTATTGTACCTCCCCAACTTATAAAATCCTAGTACTTCTATAGTTTAATACCTACCTCCACATTATTCTATTATTTCTATACAAATTACATTTATGAATTATGAGTTATGACAAATCAAACAATCTTCGAGGTTACTATGGTCTATGACCACTGTTATCTCGTTATTACTTGTTTACCTTAGTGTTCTTTTGTCTGTGGCTATTTTATCTGGAATTAAACCCGTACGGCGTGCACTAAAGGGATTAATTCCTTCTCCAAATTGCTTTTTTATGCAACCATAAGCCATTAACAGCTGCTATTGGTTTTATCAGATGAAAAGGAAAATTTACTTCTGCAAGACTATTATATATGATTGAACAATTATAATTAATAAACACGTCATGTACTTAAAAATTAATACTAATATAATAATTTTTAGTTTGTGAAATGCTAAATTTTTTTTCATAACCTTCTATGAAAAAATTTTATGCACGAACCTAGTCGTCTCATCACTTCTTTCACATTATTGGTCGTTTTTGATTACGATCATCATAGCTCCGAGAGTCCGAGTGTAGACTATACGTTCTATCAATTCTTTGTGGTAGCTATAGCCTTGACGATCAGTTATCTATTGTACAACTCTATTACACAATCTTGAAGAACATTTCCAAATTTCCAATGCAATATATGTATTATATGTGCAAGGCTGTATTTAAGAACCATAATATCTATGAAGGGATGATAATAAAATAAGCCCGTTTTCATTGAAATGTCCATATTAAAATGTAACTTCCAAATGTCATTGTAATATTAAATACCCGAAAAATTAACATTACTTAACCCGTGGTGACGCGGTTATATTTTAAAATTGTATCTACCCGATTACGACTACATACTTACAATTATTTACTTCGTATTAATACAAAACTTGGAGGTATTATAAGTATAGTTATAAATTTATAATATAGTTATGTATATATTATAGTATAAGTATAAGCATAATTTAAAAATGTTTTCACACAAATATAATTTAATTAATTTGTTATAATATTTTTGTAATACCTACATATTTATAAATTTACATTTATAATATATACTTTCTATATAACTTGCACACCATCTCTCGTATCCTCCTACTTCTTGTATTATATTTTTCTACCAATGTACTCTTTCTCCCTTTTTTAGTTTTTGTTTTTCTTGTTTATTGCTTTCTCTAAAGGTATATTTTTTCATTTATTTATAAGTTTTTTTTTTTTTAATGAAAAGTTTTTGCGTATTGAGCACTATCAATGATTTTTCATTTTTTTATTTGCTATTTTAAACTATAAAATATTGTGTGAGCTTTTAAGTTGCGTTTTTTTTTCTTCAAAAGACAATTTGGTTTTATTAACTTAGGTATAGCTTGTTGTTGTTTTATTTTTATTTTCGAGTATATAAATTAACAAATTATAAAATCGTTGAAATATTTTCAAAGATCATAAATTGTGAGAATGATTAAAAATAAAAGGCAATAAAAAGTAGGTTCAATAGTTAATAGTTAGAATTTTCGAGGAAAACACTGTTGAAAAGATGCCAACAAAAAGATTCAACCAGATATTCCATGATGAAAAAGTATCAGTGGAAAGAGAGAAAGGGACGGATGAAGAAAACTTAGAAAAACGGTTTCAATAATGGAGAACTTAAAAAAAAAATGTGTCTACAGACTACAATACACTTGTATATAGTACTGAAATAAATAAGTATTTAATTAAATACTTAAATGGTATAAGGTATTAAGACAAAAGGCTTAGATACAATACAGTATAAATAGAACTTCAAGTATTTCAATCAGTTCAATCTATGATTGACATAGTGGTTAGTGACGCATCTTTAACTTTTAGGTAATCACCCTTGAATAGTCTAAGATTGTAGTGATGATCGATTCAGTAGATGGTACATTGCGATTTTTGATATAATGGGAAGTATAACAAAATTCTTAAGATTTGACTTCTAGATCACAACGATCCGAGATACACAACTCTGTAGGCTGCATTTACTATGATTTTTCTTTAAATTTAAGCGTTTTTAAAAGATAATCATAGGATTTGTAGTAACTTCATTTTTTTCACTTTTTTAACTTCTAATTATTAATAATTGTTAAAATACTCACGTGTCACGTGTTAACAAAATTGATTCAACTTAAACACTTTGACAATTACGGACAACGGATAAGTAATTCAATATTCATTTGGTAAGTAGCTGCGTTGATTATTTTAAACGTTTATTTTGTTACGCACCTAAACATTTAAGTAACTGGTTAATAAAATTGTACTGAAATAATAATAGTTATCTATGAAAGTACGAAAATATGTAGAGTGTAGAGCGTATAGACAAAACTGTTGATATTTCCTAAATTACAAGCAACATAGATAATCATCGATTACATTCTGTACAATAATTTTTTTAACCAAATGCAATTTTTGAGTTTTAAATTATTTATTTTTTATTGCATATTTGAACGATTCTTATACACATATTATGTGACATTGTGACTTATGTCTTACATATTTTGATCCTTTTTTTGTTCATGAAATTCTATGCTTTGTAAATAACACTTAACACAGTGACAAAACATAAATGAATAGGTACGTATAAAAAATTATAACACTAAGTAATTTAGTTTTACACTTACCTACATAATAATGACTAGTCAATGTCGTGTATTTTCTTTATTTTTAAATTAATTATGCTTTCAAACATAAAACTTAAAAATCGTTTAATTTTCGTGGTTTAGAAATCAAGTAATCATGTCCGAAACATTTAAGAAAAAAAATAGCGGAGCTCAAAATCGCAAGAATAAAAAAAAAAAAAAAAAAGTTAAAAACAAGAAGTTGGCAAACACTTTTGAAAAGTGGTTTTCAACGTTTACAACAGTGCCTCCTTGCTCATCATTTAAAAACTGATGATTCTGTGAAAATCCTTTAAGATTTTGAAAATGTACCAACAATTAACAAGTCCTGGACATTTCTCTTAAAAAAAATAACAAGTTAAATAATCTAGAACCGTCCAATGATACGACCATGTAAATAATACTATAAACTAGATAATTCAAAATTATCAAAATGAACTGTGATACCTATACCTGTGAATAATGATAAATTTAATTTTAATTTTCATAAACTCAATTGTATATTTAAAAACGCTTGAATGTATGTACCTACTAAAATATTTAAAACCAATGCAGTAAGATACGGTAATTTATTAGATCTTCTTAAACAAAAACTAAAAAATTTAGGTTAATAATTACAAAAAAAAATTTTTTTTTTTTTATTGAATTGAAAATTATATCAACAACAAAGGTTAGGTATTAGTTTTCGATTTTAGATCCTAGTAGATTATACAGAGTTGGTTAGATAAATAAAGTTAATAACTATAATAATAAATAATAATATACAAACCATAAAGCTCATAGAAAAGTTAAATTAATGTGTACAAGATTAGCTCCAAGTGAAACTAAAAATATATAAAGACAATTATATTATGTTATAGACATTTCAAGTTCAAATTTGGATGAAATTACTTATTTAAACGATAAATAGTTAACGTTTAAAGTGTATTGACTATTGATTAATACTGTGTAGTGTGTACCTTAGTCCATAACTAGGTACCTTGGAGTATTATGTTTATGTATAAAAATTATCATTGACTATATCGTAATGACATAATCAGTACCTAAGTAATAAAGTATATTAAAACGGCTAAATTTATATTTGAATAAAGTTAAATTCGGCGGCCAGTGATAATGTGCTATGCTGTTTATTCGAAGTTGAACGTTTACCATACACTTTCTGTACCATGATAACGATATTAACCATACAATGATCATTTTCAACAATTTTTCACGGCGTGTAGAAGAGTAGACGATTTTTCCTATAGTCTAGGCACTAGGCAGCTATGGTAGTAGTGTCTATTTCTGTTTATAGTGGTCTGTATCATCATTGAGATTTTTTAATGATCATGCTAGAAGTGATATCAACTGTTTTTTAATTTTTTTTTACTATCCAGTAAAACCATAGATAATAAAGAATCTTTATTATCTATGGGTAAAACGCTATCTGCTTATCGTTGTTAATTGATAATAAGATGATGATATCAAAGTACCTATTCAATATTTATAATTTATATTTTCTGTTTTAAATAATAATTAAGGTACTTACATTTAATACATACTATTATTATTAATACAACTAGATTTTAATGATGTATGTTACGATAATTACCTATGGATAATTCTATTTGCTATTCATTGTATTTGTGATGATAATAATTAATAGTTCTTGTTCAAATCAATTTGTATTATTGATAATAATATTGTGTAGAATTGTAATAAAAATTCAAAATAATCACTCGAATGATGTAATAATTTGATATTGTTATTTGAGTACGAATATTGTATACGTTGACAGGTTTTAAAAAACAACGTAATGAAACAATGATTTTATATTGATTTATTTTACAACCATTCATATTTTGATTTTCAATTATGGCCTCAAAACTTACTCCAAAGATCAAAAAAGAAATGAAGAAACTTAAATTGAAAAAAACCGAGTAATTAATAATTCTACGTTGTTTTAGATTTATACATTTTTTTAATATTACTTTGACTGAATTTAAATATGCATATGTATTGTGTATAGCAAAAGTGATACAGTCATCCATGAAAAAGACTGGTTTATGCGATTTGATGCACCTTTGAAAATTATTTTAACTGCAAGGTTTTTTGCTGCGTTTCTTGTTCACATTTCAGACTGTGATGAAACATTTAACTACTGGGAACCGGTAAATCCAATAGAATTATTTCTGTAATTATAATGTTATGTAAATCTTGACTAATTTTCAAATAATTCTATTTACTAATTTAAAATTTTCTGTTTTAGACTCATTATTTTGTTTTCAACAGTGGTTTTCAAACCTGGGAATATGTGCCTCCTTATGCTCTTAGATCATATTTATACATTCTTATTCATGCAGTGCCTGTGTACCTTTATAAAGCCTTGTTTAATACTAGAAAAATCATGTTGTTTTACCTAATACGCTGTGTACTTGCATTATTGAGTTCTCTCTGTGAACTATATTTTTACAAGTAGGTATATTTTATTTAATATTAAACATAATTTAATGCGGTAGCATGTTCAAATTTTTAAAATAGGGTGTGATTGATAAACTTATTTATTTATTTATCAAATGTTATGTATATATTATTATATGTAGAATTTGTTTATATTTAACTAAGAAAATAAAAGTAATAGTGGAGGTAATATTATATAATCATATCCTTGCTCTAAGCATGCTTATGATTGAATATTGTCTAATTATGATATTTATCTTATTAATTTTTTTAGAGCTATCTCAAAAAGAATTTCATCCACTGTTAGCAATTATTACTTATTCATAACAGTTTTTAGTCCTGGAATGTTCATCGCCTCTACTGCATATTTGCCTTCAAGTTTTTCCATGTGAGAATAAGATTTAAAAATAAGAAATAGATTTGAAATAAAGAAATTAATAAAAAAATCACTTTTTTAGGTACATGACTTTCTTAATTATTGGTGCTTGGTTAAACAAAAATTATGAATTGGCAATTTTTACAACTGCATTGTCAACATTTTTAAGTTGGCCATTTTCATGTCTAATCGGGTTAGTAAAATATATTTAATTTATGTTATTGTTTATTAAATTTTATATTATTCATCAGTTCACCAAGTTATAATTTTGTAGTAGTTTGGTATAAATTGTATTATTATTATATCATTTTAATAATAACAATAAAAAAAAAAAAATATGACAAGTTTAATAGTTGATATGCACGGTATCTGATACTTCAAAAGAAATATTGTATGGGATAAATAATATATTTTACATTTTGTGTTTAATTTTAGATTACCACTTGCATGTGATATCATTTTCAGAAATAAGCAGTATATGTTATTCATTAAATGGTGTTTGATATCATTAGGGACAATTTTAGTAAGTGCAAATAAATATTTGTATTTTTATAAATATACCATTTATAAATTAATTGCATTATAGATTTATCAAGTTGCTACAGATTCATATTTTTATGGCAAGCTTGTTATAGCCCCTTTTAATATTGTTTTTTATAATTTATTCACAAGTCATGGTCCTGATTTATATGGTACTGAACATTGGAGTTTTTATGTACTTAATGGCATTCTCAATTTCAATGTTGTATTTATACTATCGCTGATGGCTCCTTTAATTATTATATTAAAAAAGGTATGTATTTGGATTTTTAAAATAAAATAATCTTTTATCTTAGAATAGTCTTTAAATGTTAACTTAATGTTAATTTATCCATAGATAATTGAAAATATATATGTTTATATTATAAATGTTGAGGTATTTTATTCCTAATATAATAAATCATTAAAATTGTATAATAATTATTTGTTTTCTACCATGTCAATTGATTTTGGTTTTATTTCAAAAATCAATTTAAATTTATAAAAACATAATTTTAAATTTTAAATGTGTGTGATTGTTATAAATATTGAATTTGAATAATCTATTTTCAATTCATTCATAGAATCAAATAATTAGACAGTTTAAAAAAATAATATTTGTAATGGTAATAACTAATAAATTATGATAGTTTATTTGCTTGAATTAAGTTATTACTATTTTTATGATAGATAAAAATAGTTTTTGTGTGATTTACGATTATTAATATTTATTATATGCAGTATTTTTAATATTATCTAAATAAAATTGATTGTTTTACTAGATTCTTACAAAACTTGGTATCAAATTTTCTAAACAAAGCAATATTAATAATAATTCACTATGGATATTATATTTATCACCATTTTATTTATGGATTTTTGTATTCATATTACAACCACATAAGGTAAAGTATATTTTTATTAACTTTATGAATATATAGATATTTGATATACTTAATAGTTTGTGTATTATGTCATACCATAAGAAGTATATAATCTATATATTTTAAAATATACCAGTTATAATTTAATAATTAAAAATAGTATTGTTTTGTTTTTTTTTTTTAGGAAGAAAGATTTTTATTTCCTGTTTATCCATTAATACAATTGGCATCTTCTATATTATTAGAATACATCAAAGATATGAATTTGCATTCAAGTGTTATTCATCAATTTAATTTTCTAAAACTGTATAACAAGTTTATTGATAATCTTTTTATACCTTTTCTCTTTGTATTTTTATTAATGGGATTATCACGAAGCACTCTTTTAGTTAAAGGTTTGTTTGTTTGTTTTTTTTGTTTTTTTGTAAACATAATGAAAAAAAACTTAAAACATAAACATCAAGAAACAGTGTTGTAGCTAAAGAGAGTCAAGAGAAAGCAGCCCTCCAAATAATTTCTGGAAAATATAATATTGCTTTTTTTGTGTAAATAATGTCACCATTTATTAATTATGTAATTTGTATTTAGCTTGCTGTAAAATTCTAAAATGTTTTGTATTCATAAATCAAATTTATAAGAGGTCCTAATTAAGCTTACCCTATAAACTATATAACAAATTATCATCCTCCCAGAAAGTAAAATTCTGGTTATATCATTGTACTAAAACCTTATGGTTATGAGTATGTTTAACACCTAAAATTTATTTTTGTATATTATGTTTAGCATATCATGCACCTATTGACACATACACGCAATTGAGTAATGATCATCTCACATTGCCTGAATCCGATGTGATAAATGTTTGTGTCGGCAAAGAATGGCATAGATATCCTTCATCGTTTTTTTTACCAAATGATAGGTAACTATATATATATTTAAATTCTTATTAACTTGATATTATTTGAAAACAGTTTGTTATAATATTTATAATTTTTTTATTATAGATGGAAAATGCATTTTATAAGATCAGAATTTCGAGGACTTTTACCTGGTCGTTTTAGTCAGGAATCTTTGTATAAAGTTGTTGAAAATTATAATGATCAAAATAAAGAAGAGTTAGATAAATATGTAAGTGTATTCAATTTTGCTCAAAATATTACATTCTTATACATGTAGTTTATAATGTACAAATTAATAAAGTAAACTTAATTGTATTTTTGCTGATATTACTTTAATTTCAGAGTGATATTAGACTATGTCATTTCTTAATAGATCTGAACAACAATCAGAGTTCAGAATTGGAACCTAATTATTCTGAAAATAATTTACAATGGTCTATATGGAAATCTATACCATTTCTAGATAGCAAAAAGTAAGAATTTGCATTTAAATGTTTAAGTAGTAATTTTGTTATAAAAATTAAGCTTTTATAATATAATACTCGCTAATATTTTTTAATCAATTTTTTTAACATTTTTTATTATCTTATTACAGAACACCAACTTTATATAGAACATTTTATTTTCCATTTTTCTGGGAAGAAAATGTTAAGTTTTCATCTTACAATCTCCTTATGCGAAATGATTTTAATAAAATGAATACTAAATCACACACAGAGAACAGTTCACCAATAAATTATATGTTTTAGACAAGTGCAAAATAAATAAAATATAATTTTAGCTTTAATATAATGATATATATAAAACTGTTTTATGTTGTATATTTAGGTATCAATGAGGTTATTGCACAATTGTTTAATTATCTGTTTGGAGTCTTAGTGTTAAAAAATTTCACGTTATACATAGTATGTTTATACCTCTCTATACCAACATAGTTATTGACAAATACCCACACTGCCAAACAATATTTTATAGATTACAGTTTTTAATTTTATGTATGTGAAGTTACTGAATCTTAGTTGATTTGTTATTTTTTTTTCGAATTCATGTATAAAGATTACTATTATCAGAATAAATCGGTAAAGTCATAAATTATAATTAATAAATTGCATTATTATATCGTTAAGAAGATTTCTCATTCAAATTTGTTGTTTTTGTCTTACAAGTGCCCAACATAACAAATTTATGCTATGCAGTTCTCATTTAGCTTTGTTAAGTTTTATTTTTAAATTGAATTTATCTGTTATTAAACTATAATAATAAAACTTGAATTAAAAGCTAAATGGGAACTTCTGAATATGTATTTATTATTTTATGCACTTGTAAAATAAAGACAATACACAGATGAGATGGTTTTTTTTTTTTTAGTGCTGTTTTCTATTAATAGGAAAATAAAGTTAACCATTTACTAAATATATGATTTTGAATCAAAAAAACACTTTACCAAACTCCTTTTTATATCTTTATAGCTTATACTGTTTGTATTTTTTGAAACTAGTGCTAATATAAAAATATTTTTAGTTAATTAAATTTATTGTGAGTACATTTCTTTGTAGATTTTGGTGTCCTATCAGACAACTATCATATTACACTTTCTAGACTATAATCAGGAAAAAATCTTTTCCCTACAGTTGTTCAGTTATATTATATTTAGAATACTATAAAATTATAATAATATTTGGATATGAAAACTCATCTTTATAAATAAAAAAATATATTAATTACAATTTGAATAATTGTGAAAAAATGATCTCATAATTTAGCATGTTTTTTAAACTTGTTCAAGTATTTAGCAATCATAATTGTATTCATCTAAAAACTGTAAAGTATAATATAAATATTATAAACTGTAATAAAATATCAATTATGCATATTTTATCATTAATACAAGTTTAGTTTAAGCTTTTGTATATTCAGTTTAAATTAAATAAATTTATAATTTGATCAACATTTGATTGTTTTTAAATTTTTTAGATCTAATAAGCTATAACTATTTTCTTTTTCAATTTGGTCACAATTAACTTGAGATTTCTCATTTTAATTTTTATATTGAAATCGACAAAGAAAATATGAAGTTAAGTATTGTTATACACAGTTTAACTAACCTACTTAATATTTGTAATATTTGTATTTCTATATTTTATTATTCTATTATTGAAATTAAAAATAAAATTGTTTATAATTAGGTATTTTATACTACATTTATTTAATTAAATCAATTTTCTTAAATATTACAAAAATTGTATTATTTCTTAGAATGAATTATAATAAAATAAATTTTATGGTCATTTAAAATTTAACTTTGTTATTTTTTCTGTTATTTATTATTTATTTGTTACAATCAATAAAAGCTGTAGTCCTAAAAAATACTTATTTAACTAGTTCATGCATGAATATTTGAATTTAAAACTATATAAATTTAATTTGATTGTATTTCAATTTATAAATCATAGAGATACAATTATACAAATACTGTAGTAAGCAATTCAGTAATAAAAGGATAAATAAAAGTGTTTTAAAAACTTTCTTTTGAATAAAAATACATTTTTAAGTTGATTTTCTTATGTATTTATAATGTGATATTTAAAAAATCGACTTCAATAACATTGACAATTATCAGTATTTAAACTAAATCACTACCATATATCTACATTTCAATATTTGAATCTTCTTACTATCAAACATTATTACAAAAAATGAAGTTATTAAAATATTTGGAATTCATTGATATTACAAAATATGACCCGTCAAATTACAACAAAAATTTTAATCGCATTAATGCAGATGTTCCAATATTGTCTTTAATCAATAATCACATAAAGATGTAAGTTTATCGAAAACGTAAGTACAAATTGTTTTGTATCGAATAATAATGATACTAATAATTATATTGAGTATACACATTGCACATGAGTACAATGACTATATACAATAATATGGTGTACCTGAATTGGAAAATTCGACCGTTTCTAATTTTATTGTTTTCAGTCTTACAAACAATAAGCATTAACCTAGGTATATCAAAATACACTTTATCGAATAATAGACAACAATTTTTTAACTCAAATGTTTAGGTACCATTACGCATGTGTGATGTTTCAGGTATTTTTGTCGAAGACAATATGAGTATTTTGGTATATTAGAACATATTATTTCAGATAAAGACAATTAAGAGTAAAGATTGCATGTTCTGTTGACGGAGATTAAAGGATTGAAAGTTTCAAGGTGTAATTTAATAACGATCAACGAATATTGATTAGGAGAAGGTAGTAAATAAAATGTGTAGTATGATAGTATTGTCTTACAGGCACACCCGGAAATACTGTCACCATGATCCACGACTTGTTAAATCTGAGCAAGACCACTTCTCTGATCACGCTAAATCACGTGACTCTCCAGCCAGATGTGCTGTAAAGCTATCATGCCAATTAAAAGGTTGCCCTAATTATAAAAATATTAAAGTTTTAATCGTCAAAATAGAAGAGATCCTTTCACATCTACTTTTTCAACCAATAATAATTGCCCAAAATCCAAATTTAATTCCACTTCAGCCAATCAATTCATGCTCATATCACTTTCTCCGGTCAAAACCATTCTCAGTAATCTTTAAATATTGAAACACTATAACCTCCTTAGAGTTTAGACCTTCATTTTTAAATTCAAAAAATACCATAAAACCTCTCTTTCTCCTTCTTACTTCATTATTAAATAATACCCAATTATGAATATCTCTATTCATTGAAATTATGCTATCTCACATTGTAAACTATTATATCTTATGTATTATCTAACTATTTACATTCTGTGTTAGTGTGTTTCCTATATTTCTTGTATATTTTATATTTTATGTGTATATAATATATATATATATATATATATATATGAATCTTATCAAACTATTAATATTATGAATGATGTATATTGACTTCATACTTTTGTTTTGTTACGACTAATAATTTATTTTATGGTCTAAATGTCTAAATTAATAGAGGATACTGTTTATAGTTGTCAACCTGTAATAGTACTACTAAAAGTTAAATAATAAAAAATAAATATAATAGTAATAATATTAATATTAATACGTTTATAAATATTACTATCCATTAAAAAAAGAATTTATATTTTATATGTAATATAAAGTTTTTTGATATGAAAATGTTGTACTTACCCGCTTAATTATAATATTTTACAAAATTAAAAGTTCATATTTTTTATTTCAATATTTAATATTATATAATTTAACTTAAAGTCCTATTTTTAAATAAGTTTTTATTTGTGTACTATACATTTGGATATTTGAATACCTACTGTTACTGTAAATAATAATATAATCTTAGTACTATCAAATTAACTAATTACCATTTACCTATCTAATAATAATATTATGTATTTCCATAGTAAAATTATGATAACACGGCGTTATGGATAGGCTATTATGGTACAATACTACTGTATATTCAGTTTTTTAGTCTATAAATATTTTATACTGAAAATGTTTATGAATTTTAATTTAAATAATTATTTTAGTCTTAGCAGTTGGCATTTTGGTGAATAATTAGAAGACAAAGCTCACCGTTTTCTAAAAACAAACGTTTAATAATATGTAATATTTTTTTACTTTTATCGATCAAATAATAAAGTTTCTTCAACATAATACGTATATTCATTAATATAAATTATATTACGTATATCACAATCATTAGGTACTGCAAAATAAATTTAAAAAAATTTCGCCATCACCAATAATACTTGTTAATCAGTCGTTTAAGCAGTTGGGTTGTTAGAAACTTTTACAACTATTTAAGTGTAAATTATATGTCAGTGTATATGTTATTCTCACAAAGACAAGGCGAAAAATTATTTAACTTATCACAAATTTAGTATTTTCTTTTTATTTGTCCCATTTTTTAGGAACTAGCGATTCATAATTATGGACTTCAAGGTTTATTGCGATTTGAAGTAGTAGTTATGTGTCAATTATTAAATTATATTTACCCGGAAATTGTATACTAAAAAATCTATTTGACACATTTCTAGCAGTCTAGTTGTAACCATTTTGGCAATGTAATTGTAGTAATAGTCGTCAATCGGTTATTATAATTGTTTCAACCAGTGACGTATTTAGGATTGTTTCAAATATTAGGGTGGGTATGTTTATCAATTCTTGTAGTAGACTATAAATATAAATATTTTCACTCGTATGTTATTTATGCAAAACGTACATGCATAGACAATAATAATTAATTAATTTTAGTATAGAGATTTTTTTGTTTTGTGTTTGTATAACTCATCGAGTGTGTTGGTTGTTGAGTGAGATAAATTTCACTAGATCCTCATTTATTTGGAATGCTGTAATTTTAATATTACGACGTCTTAGTGAAATATTGTTCGAACTAAATTATACATAATTATTTTCGATGTTCGTATTATTTATTGGATAGTTATTAATATATTAAATTTTTTAAATAGTTGCTATTTGTTTATTTATTTTTATTAAAAATGTAAAACAAATTAATCTGTATAATAATGTGGTACAATAAGTAATGATATGATGATTCTTCTTAATTGTAATTTGTAAGAGGTATGAGTAATGTGAGTAGGAAATAACAATTATAATTGTAATATAATATTATTATATTGGTTATACATAATTTAATAATTTATTTATTATAGTTTTATTAATTACGTTTATAATTATTGCGTTTAACCATAGATTAAATATACTAATATATTAATATATTAAATATACTAGTATATTTAATCTATGGTTTAACTCAGTAAGGAGGATGTTTGAAATAAGATGGGAATCCATAATATTATTTTACTAAAGAATTATAGTTTTGGAGATACATTTAGAATGGACATGTTTGTTGTGAATTTTGGCAAGGTAATTAATAGTTATAATTTGTAGATCATTATGTAATATAATGTTAGTTATACCATATATATATTTTTTAAAGCTTGGATGAGCCACAATGAGCAGATGTTAAATTATTTGGCAGGGACCTAAATGCGTGTACTATTATGACCATACTAGTCACGGCTTTGTACAAGATTGGTTTAGTTCTGATATACTAAACAAAACTTCTGAAGAAGTCAGTGCTATAGTGAGATTTTTTTTCTCTCTAGTTTTTGT